TGGGTTCTGGGACCACGGGATAAGTTTTCTTAGAGAAGGCCTTCTAGCACATGATGGACTTCACCACTCAAGGTCAGGGAAGAAAACGTTCAGAAAGAACCTGGAGAGCTTAATCAGGAAAGCTTTAAACTGAAGCCGCAAGGGGAAGGGGATGATGAACATGGGGACTTCAATGAAGAAGTGAAAATAGTGGGGGCCTACCTGGGTCGGACAGGTCAAACAAAGGTACAAGGCTACAAGTGCCTATTTACCAATGCCCGTAGTATGGGTAATAAGAAGGAAGACCTGGAGATTCTCTTGCAAACAGAGGGCTATGATATAATAGGAATCACTGAGACTTGGTGGGATGATTCTAATGACTGGGATGTGGTAGTGGATGGGTATGAGTTGTTCAAGAAAAACCAGAAGGGTAGAAGAGGAGGCGGAAGAGGAGGCTTAGAGGGGACATGATTGCAGTCTTCAAGTATTTGAAGGGCTGTCATGTAGAAGATGGAGCAGATTTATTCTCTCTTGCATCTAATGGGTGGAAATTACAAGGGAGTCGTTACTGGCTAAATATCAGGAGAAACTTCCTAACTGTAAGAATGGTTGAGCAGTGAAACAGACTGCCTCGGGTGGTGGTGGATGCTCCTTCGCTGGACGTTTTCAAGTGGAGGCTGGACGACCCTCTTTCGGGTATGTTGTAGGGCTATCTTTCGGCTATGCTCCTGCAGAGTTCAGGGGGTTGGACTAGATGACCTGCAAGGTCCCTTCCAACTCTAACATTCTATAATTCTATGAATGGCACTGTATGTGAAGAGAGGGCTAGATTGTCAGGAAGTTCTGGAGAATGTGGTTGACAGCCCCATGGAAAGTATATGGGTAGGAAGGACAATAAGGGGAGGTAGGACAAAGGGTATTGTTGTTGGAGTCTGCTACAGGCCGCCTGACCAGGGACAGGAAATGGATGCTGCCTTCCTTGAACAGATTGGTAGAGTATCCAGACATCAGAACCTTATAATTATGGGAGACTTCAACTTCCCCGATGTGTGCTGGGAGACAGGCTCAACAAAGCGACAAGAATCACGCAACTTCCTGATCTGTCTGGCCAACCTCTTTCAAATGGTGGAGGAAGCTACAAGGGGCTCGGCCATACTAGACTTAATATTAACCACCAGGGAAGCATTGGTAGACGGGGTAAAGGTGGTGGGGACTTTAGGGGGGAAGGGACCATGTCCTCTTTAAGTTCCAGTTGCTGTGGGGGGTCAAGGAAGATTGTAGCCAGACTTGTAGGTTAGATTTTCGTAGCTTGACTTCAACAAACTCAGAGGCTTGATGGGAGTCATTCCGTGGGGGAGTGGGCTGGAAGGGAAAGGAGTGAGTGAAGGGGGGGGGCTCTTCTCAAACATGAACTTTTGCGAGCTCAAGCCCTCACTATTCCAGCAAGACGGAAACATGGTAAGGGCCCCAAGAAACCAATGTGGATGAACTGAGAGCTTCAGAATAAGCTAAGGGAGAAAAAGGAAATGGAGGGAAGGTCAGGCCTATAGAGAGGCATATATGAGAGTTACTAGGTACTGCCGATCAGCCATCAGGGAAATCAAAGCTCAGTATGAGTTGGGTCAGGCCAGGGAGGCTCGCTACAATAAGAAAAACTTCTACAGGTATGTGAGAAGCAAACGCAAGGTAAAAGAGCCAATTGGACCGCTTTTGGGAGTAGAAGGAGAAACTCTGGTGGAGGACAGAGAAAAAGGAGACAGGCTTAATGTGCTGCAGGGCTTGGTTTTGGGCCCGGTACTTTTCAATATTTTTATCAATGATCTGGATGAAGGGGTAGAAGGGTGGAATCAGCTGCCTGCGTAGGTGGTGAGCTCCCCTTCACCAACAGCTTTCAAGAAGAGGCTGGATTAATATTTGTCAGAGACACTTTAGGCTGGTGCTGCATTGGGCAGGGGGTTGGACTAGGTGGGTCTGTGTGGCCCCTTCCAACTCTGTGGTTCTATGATTTTGAGGAAAGGTTTGAAGGCAAGGAGATGACCAGAACCACACAGGGAGTAGCTGCAATTGTGGTCCCATCGATGGTGCTCCTAAGTTCAGACCCTTCCGTTTTCTCTGTACAAGCCGACAGAGCAAACAGTACTGCACTCATTTGTCACAAGAAAGGGGAATGACCTGCAAATGCAATCAGGGTGTCTCCAGCTCTGTATCCTTCATGTGCCTAATCCCAGCATGGAATTTGTTTCTTAGTCGAGGACAATTTTGTATATATTACAGAGCACTTTTGCCTTTAGTAGGAAATGGAGTCCCACAGTTTTCAACAGTGTGTTCTCTTGAATTAAGTCAGCAAAAGATTTCATGGCCTTAATCTGCTGCAGGAACAGCCGTCTGCGACAGGTTCCGATAGGCTTTTTCTCCTTTTCTTCATTCCCCTTCCTTTCTTCAGTGATCAAGTGATAACTCACCTGCCTCCCACTTGCCCCAAGAGACTCATCCCTGTTTGGTATGCATTTCTCAATCATGGGCCCATTTTGCGGAAATACTTTTTTAAAAAAAAGCTTTTGTGTTTCTAGAAAAGGAACGCTTGAATTTTTCTCTTATGAGATTGTATTCTCTTATGAGATTGTATCAAATAATTAGCAAATCATAATTAGATAACCGGAATCACGTGTGTGTCACTCTGCAAAATTTGGCTGCTGCCAGATCTGTATACTATGAGGTTCCTGAAAACCTGAGTTTGTTTTGCCGTCAAGAAAAGTGCATTTAGATATAATCCCTGGGTGAAATGGCAGAGGCTTAATTTCTGGGGACTGCCACGTTGTAGCCATAGCAACCACTTTCTGGGGATTTGGGCAGAAAGAGCAAAGCGGGTTAAGGCTGGGGCAGGTGGGGGGAGGGTGGAATCAGGACGGCGGAAGAAACGGGGAGGCACGGCAGAGCTCCGAGCACCCAGGAGGCAGCGAGAGTCAAACGTCAAAGCAGAGAGAGAGAGAGAGAGAGAGAGAGAGAGAGAGAGAGGGCGAGAGAGGGCGAGAGCTGCAGAGCCAGCTGGACCTGGGCGGGCTGCAGGCAGCACAGAGGAAGAAGAGACCTCTGAGGATGGCGTCTTTGCTTCCAGCAAAGGCAGCCAAAAGAGCCCCACTGTGTTTCACAGGCTCTGGTGTTAAAAGCAAGCTAACCAAGGGAAGAGCTGGTATGACATGGTGGAGAGCTTGGGATGCAAAGCACAAAAGCAGGAAGCGGTCCTGGTCCCTACTCCAGCCCTCACCATTGCAAAAACGAAGCCGGAAACATGCATGCGTACGGACTTGTTCAGCTAATGGTGGCACTCCCTTCCAGTGTAAAGAGCCTTATTTTGATGCAAAAAGCCTCCTGTGTCAGCAAACGCCTTCTGGCCCTAGAGGAAAGTACCACTGCTAGCAGAATGGCTCCATGGGATCTATGGCTACAGCCCACAGTCTCTGTTTCTCTGCAAAATGAGTACCACACAATGACCAGTGGGAAGAAGAAAGCCCACTTGCCCTTTGGGGAAGGTGGGGGGAGACCGTCAGACCAGCTGCCAGAAAAGGGAGGGGTGAGCCTGCTGCCCCCTGCCCCCTACCGTAGAAACAGTGCCCTCTGATACCAGACTTAGCTGGCCACCTGTGATCGGGAAGAGACACTTTAGATCAGGCATCCCTCGCTTGCCATTTAACTGCAACATGGATGTGAATGGAATCTACCTTGATAAATGTAAGTTTTACCTTTGGCAACTTACTTCTTCAGAGTTTATTTACTGCATGCAACACCATGCTTCCATGGCCGTGAACTTTGCTATATTAACGAATACATCTCCCCAGTAACAGCCGCAGAGGGGACGTCATTTGGTTCTGCACGGTGGCCCATCAGAGGCCTGGCTGGGCAAGAGCTCTACACAGCTCCACCCCGTTTCTAAGCACACTTGGTGGGCAATGTTCCCTCTAAGCTGTGGAGTCTTGTGAGCAAAAATTCTACTTTGTGAGCTACCGGCATTAAAGTTGTGAGCAGGTGATTTGGCTGCTGGACAAACTAGTTTGCTCTGGAGCCCTCCTTCCTGAGCGAAGACAAAAATGTGTGAGCCGGAGGCTCAAAAACTATGAGCTAGCTCACACTAACTCAGCTTAGAGGGAACACTGTTGGTGGGCACCACAAAAAGGTGCCAGGGGGGCACCACAGCATACACGGGGACCACGCTGGGGGTCCCTGAGTTACAGCCTTATTTGTTTACAATTGACACTAAAGATTAAAGGAAGGAGCCCCAAAGAGCCCTGAGGGAAGTCAGGCCCTTTTTGCTAATTAAAAAGCCACTACTTATTTTGGTGTACTGCCCGCTCTGGCCAGGTGAGGACCCCTGGTCCTGCAAAGCACTCAGTTACACTGCTTAACCTCTTAGAGGGGCAGTTCCCTGGGGCATTCAAGGAAGCGATGGTCTGCCTTCTCCTGAAAAAGCCATCTTTACATCCGGCTGAATTGGCCAACTATCGGCCGGCCTCTAATTTGCCCAATTTGGGCAAATTAATTGAGAGGGTGGTGGCGATACAGCTGCAGGGCTTCCTGGATGACGCTT